TGCCATTGGACAATGATGGGTCAGGACGAGACAGTGAGGCTGATGAATGTGCGCAACTCTCCCTCACTTTAATCCAAGTCACGCGCAAGTCATGACTCCACCCCTATGTAGTCAGCAGAGACGGCTTATGGAAAATCATGAAGTTCGGCTGCCCCAGCAAGTTCATCACAATGGTGCGACGGTTCCACGACGGCATGATGGTCAAAGTACTCGACGATGGTGACGAGTCAGAAGCCTTCCCTGTAACCAACGGCGTCAAGCAAGGTTGCGTTCCTGCCCCGACACTCTTCAGTAGGGTATTCTCCGCCATGCTGACCGATGCGTTCCAGGGCTCCCAAGATGGCGTCCGCCTCAGATACAGGACTGACGGCAGGTTGTTCAACCTCAGACGCCTGCAGGCTATCACAAAGGTGAAAGAGACGGTTATCAGAGACCTTTTGTTCGCTGATGACTGTGCCCTCAACACCCCACAGAGCAGAAGATGCAGCATGGACTGCTTCTCCAAAACCTGTGACAACTTTGGTCTCACCATTAGCACCAAAAAGACCGAAGTCATGTGCCAGCCTGCATCTGGCAAGCCTTACCACGAGCCACACATCACGGTGAAAGGGCAACAACTCACACATCATGGTGAAAGGGCAACAACTCACACATCACGGTGAAAGGGCAACAACTTCAGGCAGTTGACAACTTCACTTACCTGGGCAGCACCATCTCTCGTGCCGTCAACATCGATGCCGAGATCAACAACAGGGTTGCCAAGGCCAGCGCCACTTTTGGGAGATGTCGGAGCGGAAAGGTATCAGCCTAACCACCAAGCTGAAGGTCTACCGTGCAGTAATACTCACAGCACTGCTCTACGCCTGTGAGACCTGGACTGTCTCCAGCAGACATGCCAAGCAGCTCAACCACTTCCACACATGCTGCCTCCGTCGACGCCTCCACATCAGGTGGCAGGACAAAGTTCCAGACACAGGTCCTAGAGCGGACTGGCCTCCCCAGCATCTTCACCCTCCTGCAGAAGATGCAGGTTAGATGGACTGGCCATGTCATCAGAATGCCAGTCAACCGCCTGCTGAAGCAAGTTCTCTACGGAGAGCTGTGCCAGGGCAAGCGTACCGCTGGGGGACAGAAGAAACGCTTCAAAGAGCCTGAAAATGTCCCTCAAAACACTGGGCTTCAACCTCAACTCCTGGGAATCTCTTACCGTCAAGCATGGTGCAGCAACCTCACTAGTGGTGCCCGTGCAGCAGAACTGAAACGAACGGCACGCGAGGCCAGAGCTGCCCCCACCTCCACCTCAGCACCCGCCCACGTGTGTCCCACGTGTGGGCGTACGTTCCGAGCCCGGATTGGCCTCATCAGCCACCTTCGGACCCACAGCCACCATTCTTCCATATGACTTGGAGCCATGGTCATCTTCGACCACGAAGGACGAACAGAGAGAGAGAGTGTGTGTGTGTGTATATATACAC